GTACGCAGACAGTCAGATATTTATCTTCTAAAGTTTGGTTTGTAAGGGTTAGTTATGTTTTACGAGTTGATCACGGACTGATATCAGTTAGAGAACCATTGAAAACCAGGCAGTACTGGACAGCTGCTGTTTCATCCTAGTTTGGGAATCATCGGCAGTACGCACCCACTCGGATTCGAACCCAGGACCTTCCGGTTACAAGGCAAGACCGTTGACGACCATTCAGCCACTGGGACCCGATTCAATGGCTCATGAATTCTAACTTCTACCAATTAGTGATTTAGCGCGACCCCAACCATTGTCGTTGGTGGGACATCCATCCACACACGTGATATCTAATTGGATCTCACTGGTCACGACTTCTCACTAGAACTCCAGGCAGCTCCATCCTGTAGCAAGTCACTAGCAAGTCAAACTAGGATGAAACAGCAGCTGTCCAGTACTCCCTGGTTTTCAATGGTTCTCTAACTGATATCAGTCCGTGATCAACTCGTAAAACATAACTAACCCTTACAAACCAAACTTTAGAAAATTAATCTGATGCTCGCTAGTGACTTGCTACAGGATGGAGCTGCCTGGAGTTCTAGTGAGAAGTCGCGACCAGTGAGGTCCAATTAGATGTCACGTGTGTGCATGGATGTCCCACCAACGACAATGGTTGGGGTTGCGCTAAATCACGAATTGGTAGAAGTTAGAATTGATGAGCCATTGAATCGGGTCCCAGTGGCTGAATGGTATACGAGCCAGCTTGCCTTGTAACCGGAAGGTCCTGGGTTCGAATCCCAGATATTTATCTGACAAATCAAGTTGAATTGGTGTCACCAATATCTCCAAATGCAAATTAATCTTTGTATACGGGCTCTAGAAGCACTGAATATTTTTATTTGTCAACTCAAAGTATGGTAAATATATGCGAATGATAATACGTTTATTATTATCAAGAAAGCTGAGAAAAAATCGGATAGTGGAACTGCAAACTTTCTATACTGTCTTCTCAATGAACAACCCTATGAAAGACTCAAGCTCTTGATATTAAAGGAAGACAACATATTCAAATGAATATTTGAAATTGCTATCTGATCATCCACTAAGCACGAAAATTCCAGTGTCTCTAAATCTGCGAAATAAAGCTGAAAACATCACATATGTGATATCGATGATATCGAGAATGAGACCTCCATTGAAGGATAAATTTTAATTTTACATTGACGAGCTTCATAGTACACTAGTTGCTTGCTTTTCAACAATATGTTCTTCTTAACATGCAGAATGTGTTTTGTGTCTTTGTTGCAGGTCACCTAAGATGCTCTAAGCATGGTAAGTTTGAATAACAGTATGATATACGTAATTGTAGGACTATATATATATATGTTGGATTATGGAGTAAAACAAGTATGAAGTTAGCGTCTACAAGAAAAATGTTCACAAACTAGTTGTTCTTGACTTTTCACAGTCACTATCTAAAAAATTAGTTTATGAGAAATTCTACACCGAATTTCAAATGAACTGTGATCAATAATGTGACCGAGTAGTTCCAAAATAGTTGGGCACCGAGTGACAAGTTGACACATATAAAAGTTATAATTGTAAAATCTCTTCGGAACTGAATTGAGTAATTCCAACGTTTCTTTCAGCAAATGGGTCCGAATTTCTTCCCTGTCTACACAGAATTTGTTTATTTTAAACTTTTACCTATGTAAAAATGTATTACTGTTATTATTCCCTTGGATTTTAAGTGGGATAGCAACTCAACATCAGTTCGTTCTGTTCTGTACAGCCCTTTCTGACTGGCTTCACAATTTCTGGCGGGATTTTATTTCCTCTTCACAACATATCCATTTCATCCTCAAACCAGTATTCAGCTCGTCGTTTCCCATAAGGGATCCATTCAGGGGCCTGGCACATAACATCAGCGTGAATATTCACTCTATTTTCATTTTTTTTGTTAAAAATGTAATTGTCATATATTTGATCTCAGTGATGGCGACTTATACTTGCCTTTTGTTTTAGTTACTGAAATTGGTTCACAACGATAATTTCCAAATGCTTTCGTCTTAGTCAGTGTCAGCATGTCAATGAGGTGGTGATAATTAACGAAGAAAATTAATACAAACAGTTAAAGGGTAGAAATGGGTACAACAGGTGGACTGAAAAATGCATAAGTTTTGAAAAATGGGGGGTTATTAATATGTAAGCGAGTGTTCCAGTCGATTACTCAATAGGTAACTAAAGGAAAATAAAATAATATGGACATTGATAATTTGACAGTTTCGATAAGGAGTTGAAATGAAGAAATATTTAAAATTATAGTAAAATAATTAAATAATTCCTTTTAACATTACAGCAAGCACTTCAAGTGAATACGATGCCTGTAAGTCCAAAAACCAATGTTAAGCTGCACTGAACAACATGGAGTTTTCACGACTTACTAGTTCATATATGATGCATTGTAGACATTTGTTGCGAATGTCATCGATTTGAAAAGACCTGAGTTACTCGGGGTTGATTGGTGTATTTCGAAATGATTTTCACTAATCTTATCTTTCCATACGAAAGTAGAAATATACATCCGAGTCGTAGTTGATTTCTTTCCTTGTAAATACGACAGTAAAAGTGATAAATTCTGAAGGATGTAAAGTAGTTGTGTGAGTTAATTTATGTGTAAAACTTGGGCGCTGTGGTAGTACGTAATGCCATATTAGTTTGTTTATTAGATTATCACACAGTGAAACAGTATTATTTACTGGATGACACAGTTTCGAACACAATTTATTACTGTTCATAATCATATCGGCTATAATCACGCGACTTTGAGAATTGAGTTTTATAGTTTACTTTGTTCTCTCCTATTTTTCGTCGTTGGGGTAGTAGAATTTTCCAGATAACTGGTTGGACAGGTGTTGAATCATTCCTTTTACATGTATTTGCAGTTGATTCGATAAACAAAGCTTCTGTTATCAATCTCTCCATCCGCCCTGTGACACACTAGACTTTAAAACTGTCATCTTATCCCATCCTATTCTATGGTTGTGTGATTGTATGTAGTGCTATAGCTGAACTATTCTCTAGATTTCGTATCTTATTTGGGTCAACTTATCTAGATTTGGCTGCTAGGTTTGTATGTTGGGCTAGTCTGACTGCCCTCGTTCTTCCACATTAACGTATGTATTTGACCTGTTAATCATTTAAGCACGGTATTGGATATTGTTTTGTTTTAAAAGCTCCACAGGATTGATCCTTTAACCGACAAGGCTTGTTTCTAATTGAGTTTATGAGTTTGAATGCCAGCCACTTTTATTCCTGTCTTGTTAAGAAATCTACGTAAGGTTTCCGAGGTTCCATGCACTGCTGCACCCCCAGTGGCACTTTCCTTCTAAGTTCAAGGTCTTGGTCACAAATCAGTTAGGTTCTGACTGCCTCTATGGCCATATATACCGGTATATGTGCATGTAAACTGACAATGTCAAAACTAACCATTTTTTCTTCATTTTCTAATTTTAAATTATCTAATCTATGTTTTACTTCATAAGAATTTGTTAGCCTAGATTTTGAGTGGCTTTTAAAGGGATTTTATAGTATGTCTAAATATTTAGATAGTTCATAAGTAGGTGAATTTCTAAAATCAACTATAGGTCTAATAGGGTGTCCTGACTTATGAACTTTGACAACACTATACATCCGACTGGGTTGTGTGAGGTTTACTATTATACATAGTGGAGCATCAGTTTTTGATAGAATGTCCGTGAAATTTATAATCTGTTATTGAGACATGGATGAAGGTTAGTATGATATACAAATATCTGTAAAATACCACAATGTTCAACTGGGAATGTCCTGAGGGAATCAAGGTGGAGGAGTAGAACTGTATATTCTCAAGTTATCAAATCACAGACTAACTACAAAAAATTGTGACTTTTGTAATCCCTTCAATAAGTCAACTATTGCTTGTTCATTATTGACAAACTGTTTATTTAGAAACAGCTGAGCCAATTCTACTTTGACAGTATTCATTTATGCTATCCCTATCTTACCTTGATCTTAATTCAGATTACAATTTCAAAATAAGTTTACGGAACTGAACAGCATTCAGTAACAATACTTATTCATATGATATAAGTATCTGACCTCTACAAATGCCTAAATAAAATCTTGAATAATATTTATAGGCAAATGGAATTGCAAAAGTGAGTTGAAATTGAATGCAGAAGTATAATACTTGCATCATGAGTTAATTTTTAACTATTGGATATTCTCTTCTGACAGAAATCACCCTTATTAGGCTCAGGGATAATAAAATGAAGAGAAGAAGATGTAAAGTCAAAGAAAATGTTTCCCTCGCTTTACTAATCTTATTTCCTAGGAAGTAGAACATCCAGGAATGCAAAATTTTCCTTTGATTCATACTCTAGTGTAAATCTTATCAAAGGGTGTACTCCATTGATATTGAGGATATTGTCTGGGTCAAATTTTCACCACAAATTATAGGGCACCATCTATAGATCTTTCATAGATGTGCAGTCGATTGATCGAAGGATCAAGAATGTTTTCAATGCTCTCTATGAAGCAGTGACCTGAGAGTGGACCAACAAGAGTTACATCATCTTCATGATGTATAATGGTTCGTTGAATTTCAACTGAACCCTAAATGTTGGAACGAGAAATGGTTTGTCTAGGTAGTTATTGAGAAGAGGAAATTCTATGGGTGTTGGGTTTGACATAGTCGCACATGCAGCGTGCTTCTTCAGTTAAGGGGATGCTTGTGAACAGGGAGGCGATATATGAAGAAAGGATTTTTCTCTCAAGCACGCTGATTCTTTTCACTAACTCGACGAAGTCAAATATGTTTGTAGGGTCGTTTTTCTCCACAGAGGTTCGAAAGTGTCTAACAGTCATTTCGCAAGGCAGAGAAGTATTCGTTCTGATTAAATATCTCCTGATGTGCTGCTGATCAATGTTATCTACTCTCAAGTGTAGCTGTTAAGTAGACTAATTCACTGCAATTTTAAGTCAATAATTTAGATTTATCCACATTGCATGAACACCTTCATTTCTTAAATATTTGCAAAGTGCTTAAGTGTTGCTTTACAAGGATTTAACTGATTCGAAACCCACCGGAACGTTCACACCAAGACTATATGGCTAGCCTAAAGTGCACAAAAATGGTGTACCACTACGACCAGTATTAGATATGCTAAATTCACCATACCATCCGGTGGCCAAATGGTTAGTTGAACTCTTACAGCCCCTTCATACTGAGTTGGTGAAACATAGTGTAAAGGATACATTTGGCTTCGTTGAAAGGATAAGGGATTTAAATATTGATAATAAATTCATGACATCATTTGACGTATCTTCTTTATTCACCAATGTACCTCTCATGGAAACAGTGGACTTTGTATGTGAAGAACTCAAAAGACGAAACATCGAGGTTGGCATTCCTATATCTTTCATGAAGGAGCTTCTCTTGAAATGTACAATGAATGTCCACTTTTTATTTAATAAGGAACTGTATAGACAAATCGACGGTGTGGCAATGGGGTCGCCACTAGGACCCATTCTAGACGACATTTTCCGGGCGAAACTAGAAAATGGGCTTTTGAAAGATGTTATTAATGAACTCGAATTTTATTGTCAATATATGGGTGATACTTTTTTGATTATGAAAAACGAAAAGGAGGCAAAGAACATCCTGGATAAATTTAATGAGGTACATCCTGCAATAAATTTTACTATTGAGAAAGAAAAAGACTCTAGTATTTCATTTCTAGACGTCCTTATTACCAGAAAAGAGGATGGCACAATAAGAAGAAGTGTTTATAGAAAGCCTACATCAACGGGCCAGTACACACATTTTCTCGGCTTTGTGCCCTTGAAATACAAACGCAATCTAATAAAGTGATTGGTCTACAGAGCAAGAGAGATTTGCTCGAGTGAATGTCTTGACAAGGAGCTTAACAATATTAAACGGTTGCTAAGGGAGAATGGTTATTCCGAAAAGTTTATTGATAAGAATATGAATCTAAAACCAAAACAGTCCAAGTTACCAACAGTTCCAAAGAAAGCCTTGTTCTTACAGATGCAGTTCCTAGGAGACAACACAAGTGAGATACTAACACATCGCCTCAGAAATGTGGTAAAAAGAGCATTCCCTGCTGCTCAATTACGCTGTATCTTTAAAACCACTCCTCTTCTGCGTTCAGGAATAAAAGACAAACTGTCTAATTTCGCCTCTTCCATGTGTATATACCAATTTAACTGCTCCTGTGGAGCCAGTTACATAGGCCATACAATTAGGCGTGTTTCGCGTCGAATTTCCGAACATCACCCTGCCTGGTTAAGCAAACTTCAAACAAAATCTATTCGCAGCGCTATTCTGGCGCATCTTGTGGAAACAGAACACAAGATTGACGTTAATCATGCTTTCAGGGTCATTTACCGCATGCCTACGAATCTCAATTTCACCTTAAAAGTTCGACTTCTAAATATTGCTGAGGCTATGGGGATTCCTATTAATAAGCCTAATTTATGCACCCAAAAGAAGTTAGTTTAGACATTATCATTACCTTGGCCATCCAGGTTTGAATAATCCAGAATTTTTGTGAAATTTCCCTAATTTTAGTTGATATTCTATTCACTGTTATATCTTTATTAATATTATTATTATAATTTAAGCATCTTTAATGAACTGCAATAGCATTGATCACATCTTACAAATCGATATTATTTAAAAAACGCTAATATTGTAATTAACTACTAATTTGAAATATTCTGTGTATATAAACATATATATATAATTGTATAGCCTGGAAGAGTAATTTATCGAAAAGAATATTCTTTGCTCGATAAATATTTTAAGGTGTACTGATAGCGAAAATAATAAAGGTCGGAGAGAATTAGGATATATGTGATTATTCAGATAAATTTGAGTTTAATTTATGTATTTATACTTAATATGTGATACTGTATCATTTATTTAAAGGTGAATATCTATATCCAGCAAAGTGTACGTGAATTTTTTTTAAATTTATTTTTGAGATGGTACAATTTTTACAATTATGAAGGTAAATAAGAGAAAATAACCTAAATACGCTAACTACAAATATTCTTAAAGTAACGGCATAATAAACCCTTGTCGTATTTAGCACAGGCGAAAAATTGCTTCTGTGACTGACATATACTAGTCGTTAATAAAAACACGTAGTTACTCGTTTAGTTCAATAAATTGGTGTTTAGATTTAATTGTCGTGACAGCGAGGTTTACCAATATTATGGTTATTAGACATGAAAATACAGGATCACTTATTTTTTATTTATTTTGATTTACAGCTTGATTCCACACCGTATTTTCAGTACAAGTATGGAATTTTCAGCATGTATATCGATAACCCAAATTTTGCAGGCCGACCATAGATATCGGGTGTGCGCCGGCAGGGGATCGAACCCCGGACCATGTGCATGGTCAGCGAGAGTCCTAACCACTGTTCCACCGACGCACTTTAGTTAACACACAGAGTGTAATGAACACGTCAATCTTTAGTGGCGCATGCAGGAAGGAAAGATAAAAATTAGGTATACATACTTTTAGTTTTGGCCACAAACTGACATCAGCTAGGGAAACATATACACTTCCAGTACCTGGAATATTTGATATGATATCAGGTCTTTTTGTATTTTTAGTTGAGATCATTTCAGTTAATCCTGTATCGTATACATCGTGCACCTAGTGTAACCATTAACTTCTTTAAGTAATTCCTTCGGAATTGTTGGTTTATGCTGATTTAATTATTTCTGTGGTAACCTCGCCTGAAGTAAATACATAAGAGTGTGATGGTTACTGGGTTTCTAGGTGACGTTCTTTTTCAATGTCGTTCACATTTAACCATTAAGTTGATTCTTTTCGGTTCCGAGTTGAACACCAGACTTCCTCAGCACATAACCATGTTTACCTTGTTTGCTGCAATCGGTTTTACCTAGCTACATGTTTACTTCTAGTAGTTCACTTTCTCCTCAAGCTATTTTATTCGTATCACACTCGGATCGTCATCCAACTGATCGTTTCTCGTTCTAGTCGCACTTGATAGCCTAGGACGTCATGTTACTCGGAGGTCATCTCATTGTGTATGTGGTCCATCTTCATATCCCTCTGAACATTTATTGGACGTTAGAATCTTGGCTAACTTGTTGCTAGGGTACTTTGTCCTTTGTACTTTGTGGCCTTCAGGACATCTCACCTTCTGTATCAAGTGAAGACAGCTAATCATAAATTTCTGCAGTAACCTGTTCGCGCGCAGCGCATTAAGTCCCTGGAGCCCATAGAAGAAGTGAATTACCATTAGTGTGTTTTGAACATGATTTGCAATCTCTATGTTGAGTGCAGCAGATGATCACACTGGCCTCAGATTAATGAGCATCTGTCTTAATATTCCGATTATACTTGTGAAATTCTATGCTTTCATTATGAAAAAATATCCATACGATAGAAATCCTCTATCACTCTGTATATTTCCATGGAGTGAAATTATTATATGCTGGAACAATACTCTGTTGCAGTTCCCAAATCTTATTCTTATATTCATTTGTTGTCACTTAAAATTCTTCCAGGTGTAGAAGACTGTACAGATGTCAGTAAGTTAATTAACAATCACTAATTAGACATTATTATCACCTATAAAATGTCAATCTTAACTATATTTCGCTTTTGTGTGCAGAGGTCCGGTTTAAGATCTCGAATAGCTAATGCTTCAGCTATGTACAGATGGCGAATCCGAAGTCCCTATGTACGATATTGAGGGACTCTGTGTAACACTGTGAAGCATTCATGTGGGGGTGCTCGATGTTCAGAGATGACAAGGTGTTCGAGGATCGAGCTGTTGCTTATTCTTATTTTCTCCTCTGGCCGACCAAGCTGGGCAGTGTTCTTGGACTTAACGTTGCGTACGGCCAATATACTTTGCTCCACACCAGCAAGTAAATTGATAAACACACATTGAAGTGGCCAAAAGCGGTATCTTGTCCTTAGCGTTAGACTGGATTAACTGTCTGCAGGAGAATGCGATACTTAGAGTGGCTGTTGGAAATGTCTTCTTCAGACATTTAGAAAGGCGGTTTCTGAAAATTTCGGCTGCGACATCCCCTTTGAATTCTAGGTTCATGAAGAGAGTCTTCTTAGGAACCATTGCGATGTTTGACACCGGAGTGTCTTCTCCTTCATGTTTTCGTCAATAAATCTTGGTGGATACCCATTCTCAAGTAGGCTTTTACGTAATAAATTTAATTCTTTCTCTACCGTGTCTTCCGAGCAGATTTTTCTAATCCCTAAGCGCAACGTAACTACCAGGTTTCTCTTTAGGATTAGTGGGACAAAGCTCCGGAAGTTGATAAACTGTCCAGTCCATGTTGGCTTGTTGCATATTGATCTTTGGATCGTACAGTCTTGTCGTCTGGTGAGTAGTACATCAAAGAAATGGAAATGCGTTGTTCGATTCTCTTTCTAAGGTGAAACTTATTGATGGATGCGCTGCGTTGAAGGTTTTGAGGAGAGAATCTAAATCACAATTTTCATCACAGATTATAAACGTGTCATCTATGTATCTCTTGTATAATTATATTTGTTAACTGTTTAGTCTCTGTGAAATATTCGCCGTTACACCGGTTAACCCACTTCATATAACCACGCGTTTTCAATCAAGCTTAATTGTTTAGAAAAAAATCCCCCCCCCATAATAGAAACAAATGGACAACAATACTGAAAGATTGTGTGATAATACAGATGCTAAAGAAGTGAGAATGAGAATAATTTTGAAGGGCAGTTGGGTTGGTTATATTGTGTGAAGTTTTCTCAAATGCTCATTAACATCTAATTGAATTTTGGATTTTCCCATCGATTGATTGGACCGAAGTGCTTGGTCTCAGGTTGACATGTCGGCTTCTTGAGCAGATGCTTCGACGATGTCTGGGTATTTAATTAGTATTTAATTGGTGGGTGGTGACTAGCAGTGGAATCCAGGATGCGCATTTCGTCTTATTTAGGACTCGTCAGCTGGATGTACCTGCATTTCTCGGTGAGCGATGATGTTCCCACCGAGGCGTTTGAAACCATAGGCACTGGGTTCGAGCCTCGGTGGGAACATCATCACTCACCGAGAAATGTAGGTACATCCAACTGACGAGTCCCAAATAAGACGAAATGCGCATCCTGGATTCCACTGCTAGTCACCACCCACCAATTAAATGCTCATTAACATCCTCTATTCTTCTCGATTAATACAAGAAAAAAATTTCATTTACCTCATATTTATAAATGTTAAAGGTTTAATAATTAATTTGCAATATATATATATATATATATACTTGATGGTTGCTGGCAAGGGGTCGTACTATCTGCCTTTTGCTTTTTTGTAGCTCGTCAGCTGGATCCCTTTGCATCCGAATGTTTAAGAGTATTCTAATCCACTTGAGTGATGATAAGTCGTAATTAGTAAGAAAAACTCGTTCTGAATTCTACTGATATACACCAGTAAATAAAAAATTTTAAATTACATATAATATTGATAAACGACATTTGTTTATGGACCCACACAAAAGCTTGGAGG